ATAAAACACCAAGGGTACCATCCGTCCAGCATACCAAGTATGACCAAGGGCCAAAAAAAGACACCCAAATATTCAACATCGAAGCAGTCCTGGACCTGAAAGTGTTCATAGAAACCCAAGAACAAAGACAGCAATAAGAGAATGGTACCGCTTTGGGCAGAGCAGATGCACAGAGGTCCTGAAATGTGTCAAGTTTGGGGGAAAGCACCACTTGAACAACTGAGTCATCCCAAAACAGAGCCGCCCACCTGCGAAAACTGTGGTGCATCCCGCCAAATATAGGGGCTGCGAAAAATATTCAAAGCCAAAACCTAAAAAATCTCAAATCAAAAGAAGCCAACCCGCACCAATTATAACCAACCTACCAACTACGCCTAAGCAAACATCGGAGCACAGCCTCTGCAGACTCTAGACCTTTCTGCCCAACTACAAGCGTTCTCCAACCTGTTCCTGCCAATGCAACAAATCGCCGGACACTCATAATACCAACCTGCCAACCCAAATACCTGAAAATCCTCGCTTGGAATGCGAACTCTCTAAAAAAACAAGACGCAAGAATTTATCGAGCTAATTCGGAGACTCAGGATAGACGTCACGATGATTGGCGAAACGCACAGTTTCACCATCCCCAACTTCGAAACATATAAACAGAACAAGAAGAGAAGGAAGATGTACAGCCATCTTCATGAGAAGCAACATAGAACACCACCAGTCTTACATTCCTCCCTTGAATAACCTCGAGGCCACCTCCATGATAGTCAGGATGTCCCACCTCGGCAACCTTAGGCTGGTATCGGCATACCACCCACCGCCCCACCGCAACGCCAGGGAAAGACCACTCAGAAAGATAAAAAGGCTAATTGATGAGAAAGGCAACTAAACTCGCGCAACGAACCCTACACAAACGGGAAGCCAACCATCTAGCCAGAGCTGTAAGGGCGCAGCTTAACCAAAACACCAGGGACAGATGGGAGAAAAACTTCAGAGCCTGACGCCTGATAACTCTAACTTGTAGAAAGTAGTTAGATGGGTCAAAGCAAAATCGCAAAACATACCTCCACTCAACGGACTCCAGCGTTTACTACACGAACCACAAAAAAAGGCCGAAGCCTTCGCCGAGTTGGTGGAACAATTTCAAAACAAGGTCTTCCCAACGACTGATCCAGCTAGTGACCAGAAAATCACGGACAGCCTAGCCGCCTCCATAATCCAGGAAGACCAAATACACCTAGCCCGCGTCACGACCAAAAAGTCGTATATAAACTGCGCACCAGTCAATGTGTCGCGACCAAAAAGTTTGTCCTTTTTCAAAACGACATAAATTTTTTGTTTCTTGAACGATTTTATTTTGGTTTGTGATGTCTGCTAGCCCCATTCTCTGGAAATGCAGGCTATAGATATGAAGCTCAAGGTTCTTCAAGTAAATTTCCTACAGGGTGATATGGAAATCGGTGAAAAATTTCAATAACTTCATCCAAGCCCCGTTTGTAAAAAAAAATATTTTTTTCTCGTTTTTACTTTGAAATAATGAAGTATTATGTCTTACCTTAAAACTTTTTTCAATTTTTCGAATTGGAATCTTAGCAACAAAAATATGATTTTTTTTTCAAAAGAGTACATTTGATGCTTTTTTGAAGGGAATACACTCAGCCTTTTTAAGATAAAAAAGATAAGATGGTGAAAGATTGTTCCTTGAATAATTCTGAACAAGCGACAAGCAACAAACTTCCATTAATTTCAGAGGAACCTAAGCAAAGACCACTTTTTCAAAATGACACTTTGGAGAAAATTTTCGAAAACTAAACCTGAACCGATATTTACGTTCGTAACATGTTTGCTTTATAATTTTGACCTCCTAGTATGATTCAGTTGTCAAATTTAAGTTTTAGATAAAACCAAAATCACCAAGAATCAAAATTCGAAAACAATTCCCGGCTGTTAAATGTCTCAATAACATGCCTTTGCCAATGCCAAGATTTGGGGATTCATTTTTTGGGAGAAATTAGTGCAATTTGTTTGAGTGGTAAGGATAATGTTACATAAATTATATTTATATTGCGCACTAGTGATAACTTATTACTGATAAGTACCTACCTAATTGGTAATAAAGTTAAATACAAAATTTGTTTGTTCATTTTTGAAAATTTTATGCGAAGATATAATCATAATAAAAACTACAACATTCAACAGAAAAATGTAACAAACAATAACAATAATAACTTTCAATATTTCGTTGGCCCTCCCCTAACCCGTAATAATTCGTTAACCCTCCTGGGCATTCCCTAGACCAAGTTCCTTAGAAATTCCTGGGGTGTGGCTTCCCATTCTTCCTGAATCGAATTTACCAATTCATCGTAAATATCGGTTCAGGTTTAGTTTTCGAAAATTTTCACCAAAATGTCATTTTGAAAAAGTGGTCTGTGCTTAGGTTCCTCTGAAAATAATGGAAGTTTGTTGCTTGTCGCTTGTTCAGAATTATTCAAGGAACAATCTTTCACCATCTTATCTTTTTGTTCTTAAAAAGGTTGAGTGTATTGCCTACAAAAAAGCATCAAATGTACTCAAAAAACATATTTTTGTTGCTAAGATTCCAATTCGAAAAATTTGAAAAACGTTTCAAGGTAAGACATAATACTTCATTATTTCAAAGTAAAAACGAGAAAAAAATATTTATTTTACAAACGGGGCTTGGATGAAGTTATTGAAATTTTTCACTGTTTTACATATCACCCTGTAGTTAATTTACTTAAAGAACCGTGAGCTTCATATCTAAAGCATAAATTGCCAGAGAATGGGGCTAGCAGATATCACAAACCAAAATAAAATCGTTCAAGAAACAAAAAAGTTATGTCGTTTTGAAAAAGGGCGAAATTTTTGGTCGCGACACATTGAGTGCACTGTTCAAAATCAAGCCTTTTGAAATACCTAATTAGAATTAGTTAAGGAAAAATAAGGTAATATGCTTAAACGAGTAAAGCAATTTACCTTCTCGTTTATTAGGCAGAAACGAATGCCTTAGTTCTATGGTGTATTCATTAACTTCCAGATAAATATTCATACTTTACTTAATAAAATTGTCAAATTAAAAAAGATAGGCAGATTACCTAAATATTTAGTCAAAATCTCAATTACTTTTAGGTACGACAATTTTGCTTTTAATTTAGGTAATTCTACTAAATTATTATGGCAAATTTTGAACTAATTTAGGTAAATTCCTTTAAATATTAGTGACTTACTTGCAATCGGCTACGATCGCTAATACCGACGTTTTACGATAAATATTCGCGCCTATATTGTCCACCAGAATGCCAAAATCAACGAAAGCTTAAAGACCGCGTTGTGTGCTATTGTGCTATAAGTGAACATTTTGTATACAATAGTGCTATCTAAGAGTGCTATAGTGCTATAGTTAAGTAATCCAAAGTAAGTGGAATTTCCCATTGACCCCAATTTATTTTTAAATAATCCCAACCCCGCAGGGTTCCGGTACTACATGTACCTAGTACCCGAACCGCCGTTGTTAATTCGCCTAGGACATAAAGATGAAGGAGTCCTAACTTGGAAGAAAATTCCTATGCTAGGATTTTCACTAAAAATATATATAATTTGCCTGAAAACTTAGCTAAAATCTACCTAAAAATTTAAGCAAATTGCCTTAGAAACAGGAAATTTATTCTTTTATTCTCAGGCAATATCCCTTACGATCTAAGGTGTATCATCTTTAAAACCTAAGTAATGTTGCTTAATAAATTGTATCATTTTCTTTAAAAATATCAGTTAAAGAATTCACTAATTTAAAAGGGGAATATTCCTCTGAATTCATTTTAAGCAGTTTGCCTTAAAAAATCAATGGTCCTATATAGTCTAATATTTTAGGTAAAAATTAGCTAAAATTTTGAACAGTGTGGTGCGCAGTTTAAATGACCTGAAGACCAAGAAAGCTCCTGGACCAGACCTTATACCAAAAGCAAACCGGCCAACCAAACGTCGAACTACAGACCAATTAATCTTCTTCCAGCCCTATCCTCCACCCCAAGGCCACAAACCCCAGGGTAAAGCGGACCCAACCATCCCAGCCATCGTGCCTGCCTTAACCTATGGCTCTGCAACATGGGGGAATGCAGCAAAGACAACCATAAAGAGGATTTAAACCACACAAAACAGCCAGAAAGATGATACCCTGGTTTGTCAGAAACTCCGACATCGCCAAAGATCTCAGGCTCAAAGACATCAATGAGGTAATACAGGAGATAACAAGAAGAAACATTGAGTCGATGGAGAACCACTAAAACCCTACAGTAACAGAAGCAGTTGACTACTCGCCAAACAATGAGGACATCCAAAAAAGGCCAAGACACCTCCTGAAAATTCCAACTGTGATATAACAAACCAATTTGTGGAAACACCAACTGTGATATAACAAACCAATCTGTGATAAAATCTAGTCATGTGCTGTCCCATACATGCCAAAAGTACAAACTTACAGACCTTAGACCTTATCAATCTAAAATTTTGGTCTCATCTATAGCCCGATATTATCTATTTTTTTAAATGTTGTCAATGCGCTGTTTTTTTTAATGGAACCCTATAAATAATATTGCATTTTTTAGGTATTACCAACACATACCATACAAATTATCGTTTTTACATGGTTGGTAATATCTAAAAAATGCAATATTATTTATTTAACACCATCCAAAGCACAATTATAGTGCTTTGAATGTTGTTAAATTTGACAAATAATATGAATTCCAAAATGTTTAAAATTTACAAAAGTCTTTAAATTTTACAAAATTTTTAAAATCTGAAAATTTTGGAAATAAAAAAAGTTTTAAAATCCTTAAAAATGTTGTAAATCTTGAATATTTTGAGCTTTTTTGAAATTTTGGGAAAATAAGGAAACTAAAATGTTTAACTCCAATTAACTTTTATTTCGAATTGATTAAAATGTTAATTTGATTAGAGATTAAAAGAACAATTTTTAATAATACAAAACTTACCCAAATCGTGATGATTTACGAAAAAAGTAGATTTTATTTCTTCTAGGGTCATGTGTTTGTGCATCTGGAAAAAAAGTAAAGCAATAGTTATTTTTTTTGTATTAGCTTTTTGTTATTTATATATGCTAATTAAGGGTCGAAAAAAACAAATTAAAATTTATGACATTTATTTCCAAATTTATTATAATGGTCTGTGGACTTTCAAGTGCAGCGGCTAATTTATTTCGCCTTCCCACATCATATATTAATCCTATGGTCATGTGCAATACGGGTAGACACTTACAGAAAAAAACATGCTCAGTACACCACTGAAAATATATCTATGTATGTATAATTTCTTTTATACTGTTATAAAAATTCTAATGTTTTAAAGATTTTTCTAATTATTATTACTTATTTATAATACCCTATATACCAGAATAATTCATTATTATAAAAATGTCGGGGAAAAATTTAAAAGTGGTTCCTTAGTATAGGAAATGTTTTATAACATTACTTATTATTATTATTATAAAGTCAGGACTTTTCTGTACTCAAAAATTTAAAAAAAGGCTCCTAAAAAGGCACAACCGGTACAAAAATATCACAAAATAGGAAATATTAAAAAATATACACCTTTCTTCTTATTTTTATTTATTTAATTTTAGATGTTTAAATTTTAATCATAGTTCTTATTACTTATAACTAATTATGCTCATTACTTATTACTAAGAACCTATACAAATAGCCTATATAAAATACGTTTTTAAATATTTAATTAAATAAAATAAATAAATAATGTAGCGAGTACCGCCCTGGATATCGGAGTGATGACTCATCGCCGATTAGTCATTGCCGGTGAGTCATCGCCGGTGACTCAGCGCTCGAATAATCGAGAGTGTGGAGCCCGCTGGAATGTTCCAGAAGACCTTGGCGCTGAATATATAAGAAACGGAGCAGCACACGGCAGTCAGTTAAGATTTGCTACTCGCGGCGAAATAAATAAATATAAGTGCAAATAAATAGACTCTTGAACAATAGTAGTGATATAAATAATTAGTAGTTAAGTGTTTAGTTAGTTTTATAGTGTTTTAAGTGTAGTTAAGTTATTAAATAAATAGTTTAGTTCGTTAATTAACCAGTGCGTGTTTTAATTCACACTACGAACAGTTTAAATCGTTACAATAATATCGTTTAACAGTTCCAAATCAGACGGGAAAGCGAACAGATGTGTGAGGTCGAGCCCCTACCCACAATAAAAATCTTAAAGAAACATAAAAATCGCCATATACAGTGTAGTTTAAGGAAAATACGGTGTGGAAATAATGCTACTAGTTTTACTAACTGTGCAGGTGAAATCAGTGTACCTGTTCTCCAAATTATCACAATTAAATAGTGTCTCAAAAAGCAATCTCTCAACAAGTGACTACATGGATAAGGTCCACACGGACACGGAAATAATTAAGTGACTCGGGATATGTCAAGGAATCACCTATGTAAAGAAGAAACAAGTCAAACCAAGAGTGGAAGTGACCACAATCTGCAAAATCTAATAAGTATAATAACTGCATGACCTAATACGAAAGTTTGCAACAAATACCTGGTAATAATCAAGCAAGAACATCACAATATATAATATAGGCATAAACTTAAGAGGCCGGCCCCATAAAGTTAAAGTGTTTAAAAGATACCGAAACGGAAATAAACAACAGTCTCTTAAAATAAATCAAACGAGCACGTAAATAAAAAATAACCTAAACATACAAACAACTAACACAAAGGGCAACTAACGACAAATAAATTTAGGCAAAGTGAGGTTAAATAAAGGCGAGCTAAACAGCTGCATATTATGAAGTCGGTACTCAGCACGAGGGGTTGAATTTCCACGAAGGCAAAGGGCAGTACTTACGGCGGGTACTTCGGTACTGAAGACAAGATTCAGTATGGTACAGGGGGCAAACAATTCTAAAGCGGTTACCAGGAACCGGAATCCGACTCGGACAGAGACGATTAGGAAGTACATCAACAATAAGTTCTAGCAGCGTACTAACCCACCTAAACCCATTCGTGAATCCCAATTAAATGGGGTTATTACTAAAGCCCTGGTTGAGGAGGATTCCGGATTGTACTTAGTTTTTGGTCAGTTTAATCTCCTCCAAAAACCAACATGTTTTCCCTCCTTGTCCCTCACTCCACTACCTTAATATTATAATTGAGCAATGTTTTTTGTTTTGTTTCTATAATATGTTTTTAAGAGAACGTTCGCACGAATTATTACGGTAAAATCTCAGACGCTACTGATCTTTTCTTTTACCATACATTACTAAAATAATAATATGTAGTGGAATAAAAATGGAGTAAATAATTAGCTTTCAAAAGACTCAAATATTATTAAAATGGTTAATGATATATCCCGTGACCGTACATCAAAAGATAATACAGTCTTAAAAAAATTAACATTTCATTTGAATTTGTTAGTAATAAAGTATATCGAGAATACTTGATAAATTACACTACTCCTATAAACTAAATTTCGGAACACGTCATGAAATGAAGCAAAAACAAAAGGGCGGCGAAAGTAAAATAATAAAAAAGAGAATACAAACAAAACGAAAAATATTTAAATCGAGGCAAAAACAATTATCCAATGAAAATTCACCAATTTCTAAGAGAAAAATAAAAAACAATTGTACTATTATAGAAGATTTGTAGGGAGACATTATAATGATGAATTAAACCCTACACATCCAGCAACTTTCGCAGCTATTTAAATTTAAAGAAGCTATACTTAACCCTTTTGTATCAAAATCCTGTACGTAAAAAAACCGTGTTTTGCGTACAGGAAGCGTACTTCGTAGTCGGAAAACGGTTTGATAAGCTATTGCAGGTGTTCACGATAGGTGGCAATTTTACAAAAGACTGTTTGGGCAGGCTTTTATTATGTTAGTTTACAATGTAGGGTTGCCACCCTCAAATTTAGAAAACCAGGATTTGAAGGTAGAAATACCAGGACATTTTGATATAGAACAGGACGCAGTATGAGTAGTAATAGGCAATGAAAACAAGTTTAATATAATTTAGAGCTTCAGTACTGAAAAACAATGACAAATTGAATTTACCATTGCATATCATAAAAAAAACATAAAAATATAATATAAGAGAGCACATAATACCGCCGCGGCGCACCTCCGGGTTTTATAGATATTTTTTTTAATTTTATGCATACCGCGTGAAGAAAATTCAGGGTATTCTACTACTAAAAAATTTGAAAAATTCCTATACCATGCAAATTTTCAAAATATGTGTGTTAATTAATTTGGAAATATTAATATTTGTATAATGCACAATGGTTAAGATATTATTTTATATAATCATTTAGTTTTGGAGATTGCACACACCAATAAGCTCAAATGGAGACAAAAATGAGAAGTCTAATTTTTGTTTAATAATAAAATGAGATATACTCAAAAAAAATAATTTTTTATATAATAATTTAATGATAAATGCTTTCAACTGCCTTAAAAAGATCTATTTTCATCTGTTAATATGTTAATATTTATATATAAGATATCTTAATCGCTATCATCTTCCGATTCATCGTCGTTGACGTTACCAATGTGGATTATCATTTCATGACCATGATCATCGTCCAAGATTCTTTCTTTATTGTACAATTCCTCTATAATTTTTTCTGGGTGTGCTATTTTTGACTTCCATGATTCTGGAGCAACTTTTTGTTACGCCCGTTCCCACATAGTAAGCACTTTATCATTGCCATAGCCATCTTCACCAATATGTTTGTTATAATAATCCTTTGCATCGGCCCATACCATTTCAATTGCGTTAAGTTGAAAATGGTCCATTTTCTTGTAGCAATTCATCAACCTTATATCGTATTGTTTTTTATGTTTCTTGGCTAAATTTACCATATTTATAATAATTATAAGCTAATGTTGACTAAACCGTGAACGGACACAGTTTTTGTGGATGAGTTTTGCCAGGATCGTGTATGGCTTCCTTTAGCAAATATCCAAGTTTAATATAAAAACACCAGCTCTCTTGGATAATCAGAATGTCTATTTTGCTTGTATTTTCTGAAAAAGTAGATTATCATTACAGCAATATCAGTTCATTCCATCGATGCCCTTCTGTTGTTGTCTTGTTTGTACTTAAATCCTAATTCTACAAGCAATTTCCGTATGGTTGTCAGAGAGGCAGTTAATAATACATATTTTGTGATCAGTTCTTCTCTTAAAGTTTTAAGTGTTATCTGCTTTTCTAAAAATATTATGTATAAAAATAAAATACTCTCTCTAAATAATATCTAAAAATAGTCTACTATATTATGTTTTTGTTTAAAATCATTTTATTGATTAAAAGTAAGTATAAATCAAAAAAACTATAAATTTATTCAATGCAGATTAGAATATATGGAAAAATATAAATCATTATTATATACTTTTAATTGTATAGTTTTCTAAATAGGGCAAATCATTGTCAACTGGACAACAAATATTAGGGGAGCGGCGGGTATTGGCGTACATACGGGTAATCCCGTTAATGACAAATTTTTGATTACGCCATCTATTTTGGAAAAGTTAAAGCATAAAACGATACCTACTTAGATATCTGGTAGATGGCTGCAAGAATTAAAAATCTACCTTATCAACAAAAACTTCCACACCAAAACAAAGTTTCTTGCATGGCGTCGTATAAGACCGCTGTGACTTTTTAATTACAACGAACAGTGATTGAATTGGTTTTTTAAAACAGTGCTGCCAGTATACGAACAATTAGTGTTTGTTGTTGATTTTAGTCTGAAAGGTAAGTTAAAATATTGCAAATAACATCGTGGTAAATTTTTTTAACCTACATATGTACTACTATGTAGTAGATTCGGGTATTCCCGTACCCATTATGATAGTCCTAAAGACTATATTTGCGACTACTGTCCAGGTTTGCAGTACTGAATATTTCCTATAGACTACATTTTTTATTTTGTTGTATGCTTTTATTTATGTTTGATTACCAAATATATTGAATTTGTTACCTTTTTTCTATCTAGTTTATGCATGTACGGTAATA